ATAGGTTTCGCATTAGCATGATCAAGTGTTCTGGGATTCCCATTCTTCTGAGTCAGTCACATTTTGTTATAATCCACACAGTCAAACGGCTTTGTATAGTCAATGAAACACAGATAGACATTCCTCTGGTATTCCCTTTTAGCTAAGATCCATATAACATTAGCTACAATATCCCTAGTACCACGACCCCTTCTAAACCCAGCCTGGACTTCTGGCAGTTCTCTGCTGATATGTTTTTCCAGTCAATTTTGGATAATCTTCAGTAGAATCTTGCTTACATGTGAATTGGCCAAAGTCAATCTCTAATTAACATACATTTACAGATATAATTAGATATTTCACCAGTTAGTTGTGAAGTTAAAGTGCTTTTTACAATTATCTGAAATGAGAAACCATGATTGAGCAATAATAGAGTAATAAAAAAGTATGGTGATGTACTCTAATGATAATCCATGTTTCTGTTTTAGTTTATATGTGAAAGGGAAGCAGCTTATTAAAGGTTACTTTTTTTCCTTTCTGCTGTTGAAAACTGTATATAAGTACAAATTGATATTGTTGTTAGGTGCTGTCAAGTTGAGCATGACTCATAGAAACTCTATGAAAAACAGATCTGAACCCCATCCTATCCTGTGAAATCCTCACACTTCCTGACACATTAGAACTCATTGCAGCAGTCACTGTGTCAATGCCCGTGGTCGAGGGTCTTCCTTTTCTCTCCAAGAAATAGTCTATCTTAGCAACATGCCCAAAGTATGTGAGGCGAAACTACCGAAGAGTACTCCGTCTCCAAAGAGAATTCTGGCTACACCCTATCCAAGATGCATGGTTTTTTGGTAGCCCATGGGATGTTCAGCACTCTTCTCCAACACCACAGCTCAACGGCATCTTTCTTCTGTTATTCTTATTGACCAGCTCTCTCATGCATAGTCAGTAATGAAAAAGACTGTGGCCTGAAGCAGACTCATCTGAGTCTTCAAACTGATATCATTACCCATCAGTAATTTGGAAAGGTGCCTAACTACAGACTTTCCTAGTGCAATACATCTCCTGATTTCTTCACTGCTGGTTCCACTGGTGTTAACTGTGGATTTAATTATAATTAACAAACAAGCATGAACTGTTGGGTTGTTTTGATATAATTATCAGGTGTGAGCTGTTTGGTTGTTCTGCTTTAATTAACAATTAGTTGTGGGCTGGAAGCTTCTTGTCTATACCAATTAAACATGGTGGGCTTGCCTTTGTGATGAAAAGTTGGTTTGGGCCTATCTGAGAGTCTCTTTTGAAGCAGCTGGATTCTGCAAGGTAGGTTGGGTTTACCATTAGGGCCCAGTGTGAAGACTGATCTATTGGAGTTACAGACTAAATCGTTAGTTGTTTTTGGGGAGAACATTGTTCTAATTGGTAAAACATTTGTTTTTCTGTTTGCTGTACTGAGATAACTTGTGGGTTGAGATATATGAATATAAAAAGCCTACAACAAAAACTGGAGATGAACACACCAAAACCATAGTAGTCACCTCTGAATGAGAGAAATGTATATAATTTCCATATTTCCCTAACTCATTCTAAGGAATCTATGGTAAACTATGAAAATGATAATTTTTTTAAAATTATAATTTTGTCACTCTGTTTTTTTTAACTTCATGAAATGAATTGGTAAATGAAAAGTTCATGATAAAGCTAAGAGGTTTTATTGGACCCTAGTGTAGACATTATGAGTCATCTATGACTTGACGGTACTTGACAACAACAAGAGTAGTCACTAGGGAGCTCTGGTGAAGTAGTGGTAAGGAGCAGTGCTGTCAACCTAAAGGCATGTGGTTCGAATCCTTCAAATGTTCCACAGGAGAAAGATGGTGATCAACTCCCATGTGATTTATTGCTTCTGAATAGCCACTGGAGCGGAATCTATGAGTAAGTCTCAACTTGGCCATACTCAAGAACAACAAAAATGTAGTCAGAGCTCATGTGGATGGCACAGCATAGTGCAGGGTTCAGGTCTGCTGTCCACAGGGTTGCTATGAGTCATACTTGAGTAAAGAGCACCTATCAACAAGTGTAGTTTTGTGCTGCTAACTGAAGTGCACAGAGCTCCCTGGGAGAAAGACATGCAGGCTCTTCCCCCTTAGAAACCTGAGGGAGGGTTGCCAAAAGCCAGAACTGACTCAAGAGCAGTGTGCTAATTTCCAAATAAAATACAGGATCCTTAGTAAACATGAATTTAACTAAATATCAAATGTGATGTTTAGACAAACATCAAATAATATTTGGGACATGCTGTTATGTACCATCAAGTCAGAACTGACCCATAGCTGAACCTCCGGTGGGTTTTCAGAGGCAGCTAATCAACATGGGAGGAGATTGTCCATCCTTACACGCACATGCTTACAGTTGAGCCATACCTACAAAGAATTAAGATTAATGCTAATGCATTGTGTTTATTTTGCTAAAAGTAACTTTGAAGCTAGATGATTTGCAAGTAAGCGATTGTATATCTGTATGAACATTTTCATATTTCATCAAAATTTTCTGTACATCACCAGATGTCTACAGAATAGAAGAAGGTTTTTACTGGGGCCTAGTATAGTCACTGGGAACTCTGGTAGCCTACTGGCAAGAAGCTATGCTGGAATCCTGAAGGTAAGGGGTTCAAATCCACCCATTTGCTCCACAGAAGAAGGATGGGAAATCTCCTCCTGTGAAACTACCTACCTCTGAAAACCCACTAGAAAGTCAACAGTGGGTTGGTTCTGACTTGACGGTACACAACAACAAGAACAACAACAAAAACAGCGGTGGAGTCACTAGGGAGTTCTGGTGATCTAGTGGTAAGAAATTGGGCTGCAATCCTGAAGCAATGTGGTTCAAATCTACCAGCTGTACTGAGGGAGAAGGATGGGAATTTTCTTCCTGTGTGAACAATTGCTTCTGAATACTTGCTACAGGGTCAGTCAGTTCTGACTCAATGGTATACAACAACAACAACACACACACACACACACAAATACACACACATCTGTGTATATGCGTTTTGTTGTTATATGCTGTTGTATCAACTAGAACCCACAATGAC